AAACCGCGATAGAGTGAGGCCGCGGAAGTCGAAGCGCGAAGTGGCGAGGGTTCACTGTATAGGGTTTTTTTTCTTTTTCTAACTTTCACAAGAAATCTTCTGGTCCTTGAGACTTTGTCATGGTCTACATTTGATCATGGTTTATTGAATTCATATGATGATAGTTTGTGTTTCTATATATTTTTTTACCTTTACCGACTGCCATAGAGTCGATTCCAGTTCATCGTGACCCATTTATGTCAGAGAGTTTCAAGTGGCTTTTTTTAAAATTCCAGAGGTAGATTATTAGGCCTTTGCTCTGAGGTACTTTTGAGTAGACTCAGTTGGAAGCCACCAGCTGGATAACAACAGCCAAGTGTGTTAACCCGTTGCACCACCCAGGGACTCTTGCTTCCATATTCAGAATTGGAGTTCTATCTAACATTTTGAGGAGTTTTTTGTTTTGTTTTGGAGCAAAACCGTTTCCTATGTGATATTCCAGCCCCTTGGTGGAAGCAGGGATATCCCTTGATGTCATAGGCAGGACCCTTGGACGTAGGCCATGGGTGAGGGGTGCTCTCATGCTCTCTGCCTCACCTTAATAAAAAAGTACTGCCATTGAGTCAGTTCAGACTGATAGTGATTTTGTAGGACAGAATAAGACTGTCACTATGGGGTTCTGAGACTGTAATTCTTTACCTGAGTAGAAAGTCTCTTTACCCGCCAAGCCGCTGGTGGTTTGGAACTGCTAGCCTTGTGGTTAACAGCCCAACATGGAACTATACCACCTACTATTCCACCAGGGTTCCCACCTTGTTTCTGTATTGGCTTTGGGCAAACATTTTCTGCTTGGTATTGGTAGCAGGTATCTTAACTGAGTATTATTAGAGGATCTAAAGCCCAAGATCTTTTTTTCCTCTGGCTCCACTGTCATATGTTTGCCTTTTTTCCCCTCCACCTTCTCCCAATCACAAGGGTCTTTTGCCATTGACTTGAGGCCATAACGTTTGTTGTCTTTTGCTCAGCAGCTTTTGTGGGAGGGAAGAAGACTCTGAGGAGGCAGGCAATGCTTTATGCCTATTCCTGATAGCAGCTGATCACTTCCAATAGACCATATTCCTAATGCAATATGCTAGTCTTTCTGAGAACCAGGAGGAGCTCCTGCAGTAAGGGTTGCAAGTGTATTAGAGCTTAATTTCTGAGCATCCTGCTTACAGAAGGCTATGGAAGACAGTGAAAACCAAAAATTCATTTGCAGAGGATTAAGCCTCCATTGAATCTCTTTTGACCTTTAGCTCCGAATGAGAATAGTGTTGCCTTCAGGCCAAGGGCATTGGAAAGTAGATTGCCACCACCCAACTTCAGATCCAGCGAAGGTCAATCTTTCCCTGAAGGGCTTGCCTGGATGTGTCCTTGATGAACAGTACTGGGGATTGCATAGTCACGAGTCATACCACATCAGTGGAGCACGGATTGCATTGGTTGGAAGTTCCTGGACCAATCTTGCAGGCTCTTTGTTGAACATGCAGTAACATGTCCCAGTCATGGCCCTGTTCCCACTTTTATAGTGTCCCACCTGTAACTGTGATGTATTGCTCTGCCACCATTTATGAATATGTGACAATTTTCTGTGTGTTGTGTGCTTTATTTAAGTGGCTCTGTGCTATGAATCTTTGGATGCCATTATGACCTTGTGCTAATGCCCTCTCTTATCCTGGTGATGTGTCTTTGTCCCTTTTAAGACTTGATTAGTATTTCCCCTTAAGTTATATCTGAGATTTGGGGTCTCTTTTATATCTTGAAACTCAAGTCATATCAAAATACCCGTGTTTTGTTAAATGTGTAGCTGGTGGCCACAGCTTCCTCCTGTGCTCTGCTATAGTAGAGACTGAATCTCTTCTCTCCATTACCTGAGAATTGCTAGTTCCTCCGTGTAGTTTGGTTATTCCATTTTTTCTTTCCTTAGCTCTCTAATGGATTCACAATAAGTTAACATTTTGTAGCTCATCCGTTTGTTTGTTTTCCGTTAGGTGGATGTCAGTCTGCAGTTTTTGTCGACTTAAACACATTGAAAAAAAAATCCTTGTTTTTTTGGTGCCTTTGAGGTGGTTGTGACTCATAGTGACCTCATGTATAATGGAAAGAAACACTCCCTGGCCCATGACTACTGCTTCCTTGATTGTGGGCCCAAGTAAAATGAAAACCTTGATAACTTTAGTATGTTCTCCATTTATTGTGATACTGTCTAGTTCGGATTTTAATTTTCTTTACATTGAGTTGTAATCTATCCTTAAGGCTGTAGGCTTTGATCTTCATCAGTAAATGCTTCATGCCCTCATTGCTTTCAGGAAACAAGATTGTGTCATTTGCATATTGTAGATCGTAAAAGTTTTCCTTGGATCCTGATGCCATATTCTTCATATAGTCTAGCTTCTCGAATTGCTCAGCATACAGATTGAATAAGTATGGTGGTTTCATTTCGTTAGGATTCTTAAAATGTCTTTTTTGTCTCCGTGTTTCTTAAAGTAGTATATGTTCTATTTATTCATTCTTTATTTTGATGTTGGTGTTTTACTTTATTTTTAATTATTTTTTGAGTTTCATCTCAACTGTGAGCTTGTCTACCTCTGAAGTTCTTTTACATACTCTCTGTATAGTTTTTAAAAACTTCATTTGGCTTGTTTTGAAATAGTAGACTATAAACTTTCATCTGTTAAGGGCATGCCTTTTCTCCCCGCCATCATCTGCAGGAGTACTATTCTGCTGCTTACTAAATAGTATATTTATAAAACTATAAAACTTCTAAAAACTACATGGGATTCAACCACAGCCTTTTTGTTGATCACTTTCATGAACTGTTAGGCGGAAGTAGGGAACTGGAATCATTCTTTTTTTTTTTTTTTTTTCTTTTTCAGGGGAGAGCATGAACGCAGTCCCTCACTACCACAAATTATGCAGTTGAGTTTCCCACATTTGGGGAAATCGCAGGAGTCAGCACATCCAGAGTGCAATGGATAAGCCTCACCCTAGGAAAACAACCTTCGTGATCATGGCATCTCCCCTTTCAGGTAAGTACTACTGGAATCATTCTTTTTGTCTCTAGTGATCCTTCTTACATTTCCACGAACAGTTCAGAATTTATGGCTTCGTACTTTGAGATGGTCTTTCTGTTCCTCACTTTTACTGGGGCTTTCTCCATCTCTCTTCTTGTTTCTGTTGCCCCTGTCTTGCTCAGTTAGAACCCTGTTTCCTAAAATTTAACTTTAATTTTGATAATTCCAGCTCTCTCAGAACTTACCACACACCTTGCTTTGCACACCCCTCCCACCCCCGTTCCCTGCTTCCATAGTTGGTGTTTGCTAACAAAGTTCCCAATGCAAGCAGACAGTCTCATAACTTGTTAGTTGCCCTCTATTGACTCCAACTCTCTCTCTCTTTTTTAATTGGGGGGTCTTACAGCTATTTTTACAATCCATACATATATGCATCGTGTCAAGCACATCTGTACCTATGTTGCTGTTATCATGTTCAAAACATTTTCTGTCTACTTGAGCCCTTGGTATCAGCTCCTTATTTCTTTTCCTCCCCCTCCCCACCCAACCTCCCCCATGAACCCTAATTTTTTTTTTTCACATCTTACACCAACCGCTTCACCCACTTTTCTGTTATCTGTCCCCTTGGGAGGGAGCCTGATGTCAATCATTGCGAATCATTCCCCCTTACCCGCCCCCTCCCTTACCCTCCTAGTTTCCCTGTTGGTCCTGAGGGGTTTATCTGCATTCCCTGTGTTGTGGGGTCTTATCTGTACCAGTGTACATGTTCTGATCTAGATTTGTAAGGTAGAATTGGGGTCATAATAGTGGGGGTGAGGGGGTGGGCAGGAAAGGAAGCATTAAAGAACTAGAGGAAAAGTTGTGTGTTTCGTTGGTGCTATATTGCACCCTGATTGGCTCATCTCTTCCTTAGGGCCCTTCTGACAGGGGATGCCCAATTGACTACTGATGGGCTTTGGGTCTCTTCTCTGCCCTTCGCCTCATTCACATGGATAGGATTTTTGTTTTGTGTCTTTGATGCCTGATACCTGACCCCATCAACATCTCATGATCACACAGACTGGTGTGCTTCTTCCATGTGGGCTTTGTTGTTTCTCAGCTAAAAGGCTGCTTGTTTGTCTTCAAGCCTTTAAGACCCCAGACGCTATATGATTTGATAGCCAGGCACGATCAGCTTTCTTCAGCACATTTGCTTATGCACCTATTTTGTTTTCAGCAATCGTGTCAGGGGAGGTGAGCATCACAGAATGCCAGGTTATTAGAACAAAGTGTTCTTGCATTGAGGGAGTACTTGAGTGGAGGCCCAATGTCTGTCTGCTGCTGTAATACTTTATAAATTAATATATGTACATAGATCTAGTCTCCTATCATTATATATCAATGTATTTACATGTATACATGCCTGTATTTAGACCTCTATAAATGTCTCTTTTGCCTCCCAGTTCTTTCCTTTATTTCCTTTTACTTTTCTCTTGTCCCACTATCATGTTCGGCCTTCCTTCCGGTTTTTGTAATTCCTCTCGGCTACATTGTCCTTGCTCAAGTCCCCCTAAGCATCCTATGCCCTCCTATCAATTTTAGATCACTTGTTCTTGTCCCTGGGTTTGTTGGCAACCCCTTTCCCGTGTTTCTGCTCCCCTTCCCCCCCTCCAACCAGCAGTCCCATTGTTCACTCCTCCAGGTTGTTCAACCTGCCTATCTTGTCCAGATAGACATGCAGAGACAATAATATACACAAAAACAAAGCAAAGTGAGACATAACAAAATAGAAGATAACTAAAACAAAAAAAACTAAAAATAATTAAAATAAAAAACCCAAAAGCAAAAAAAGAAAAGACCTCAAATAGTTCCAGGTCTGTCCATTGACCTTTATGTGAGTTCAACTTTTGATTACCTCATGTGTTGCTAGTTATTTGTGCATCCCTTGTTCGTTAGGTGATCTTGGCATCCTTGTGTCATCACAAGCATTTGCTGAGACTATTCTTGTAGCTTTGACTTGTCCCATGTACTTACAGTTTGGGTTTGTGAAGATATCATAGATTCTTGTGTCAATCTTATTTGTGGATCTCATGGGTTTGGGCTTTGTTATGATAGTCATTCTGTTTTTGTGGTGTAAAAAGGTCCACTGGAGATTCAAAAGGTAAACTACTGCCACAGTTTTTCCAGAATCCTTATTCTCACCCTTGGATGGTGCTTTGGCTGAATTTGAAATCCTTTGTTGTTAGTGATTTTTCCTTGGTACATTGTGGAGATAAGTCCATTGCTTCCTGCATCTGTTCTTTCTGCTAAAAAATCTGAAATCAGTCTAATTTCTTCATATTTTTCTTATATCTTTGAAAATGTCAAATGTAAAGAGAAAATTGTTTAAAAAACACCCTAGAGAATAATTTATAATTTTATCTATGACTCCAGGATTTGCCTCCGTATAGAATCATTTTCATTTATAATTCTTGGTATGACATGTGTTCTTTGAAACTGATGATGTATTGTTCCATACCAGAAAATGCTATACATAGTCATTCTGAATATTAAAGATTGTTGGATTTATTTAATGATTACATTTTTTATATTTCGGATTTTTAGTGTTATTCGCTTTCTTTAGTCATACCTGCTGGCTTTTGAAGTTCAACTTAAAGTGCATATTATTTGTTCACATTTCATTTTAGACCCATTCATTCTCTCTAATGACTTTGTATTTGCCTCCTCATTGGCCTTAATGACTAAAAGATACCTGTGAAACCTTATGGATATGCTGCTTGTTTGGGGGGTGGGGGGAAGGATAGCTCTTTGATCACAAGCATCTGTTAAAGACAAAAGGGATGCACTGTAGGTCAGACCCATTAAATATATTGAGTCTGTGTCCCTTTTTTGTCCTCATCCACTGTCTATTGCATTTATACATGAAATATGGAAATATTTTTGTGGGTATGAGATTTTACAGACAAAATAATAAAAAATCCCAAATGGATTTTGTTTTAATGAGTCAAGAAAATAATTCATTCAGCAAATGAAACCTGGAGGCCTATTTTAGATTATAATTAATTACCTAATCAGCTTTCTCTATTAAGACTCTCTTCTGGTATTATTTTGAGGTCTGGAGTCAGAGCTAGTTTCCAAATATTCTGTATATAGTTCCGTTCGAATCAGAACAACAGAATCATGCATCTCCTTTAGTACATTTTAGCTTCACTCTTCCATTTGGGGTTTGTTACATGTCAGCTAGTACTTCCAAATTTTTAGATTTGTTTAAAGAAACAATTTTTTCTCCCCCCAAAAGAAAATGTACAATATAAGTTTTTCTTAAATAGTTGATTGATTTTTAATTGTGAGAGGACTATATAAAACAAAACTTTTTTCCATATCAACATTTATTACATGTAAAATTCATTGATTATGCTCATTATGTTGTACAACTCTCACTGCCCTATTCTACATTATCCTTCCACCATTAACAGAAATTCAGTGTTCCCTAAGCAAAGACTTCTCCATCTCCCTCCCTTTAGCCTCTGGTAACCACTCATTAACATTAGTGTTATATATTTGCTTATTTTATATAAGTGGCATAATGTCCTTTTGTGACCAACTGATGATTTCACTCAGTATAATGTTTTTGAGTTTCATGTATCAGAGCTTCATTCCTTTTTGTTGGTTGTTAAGTGCCATCGAGTCAGTTTTGACGCGTTTCAATCCTATGTACAACTGAAAGAAACACTACCCAGTCCTGTGACAGCCACACAAATTTCATGTTTGAGTATTTCTGTTCATACTGGATTAATAGGCCATAGTTTATAGGTAGTACTTTTTTTTAAAAAAGCACTTATCTGTTAATGGACATTTAAGTTTTCACATGTTGACTATTATGAACAGTCAGTGAGCACTGGTGTATGTGGGGGGAGGCCAGATGCTTACAGACATCCCTGAAGGCAATTGCTGCCAGACTACTGTCTAGCCCCACCACCCACTTGGGTGGTCCTGCTCTCTGCTGCTGGGGACAATAGACTATTTCTCCCTGAGGCTTGCGACCATTAGCTTGGTTCCTGTAGGTGGAGTTCACACCCTACCGATAATGGTCTCTATCAGTTGAGCCAGGGAACAGGTCGAACTGGCTCTGTGACATCCAAAGTTAGGTTGCCATCCTGTATCTAGGATCCGCCTATCTTGCCGCATGTATACCCCCTATCGCTCCTCTTCCTATTGCATGGATACCCCTAGAACACTCCCTTCCACTACTGTATTACCTATAGCACAACCCCTTCCTATGACATATGTCTTCTCCTGTAATTAGGGGGCTTGCATGTCCCCAGAGAATATAAAAGCCTTGGTTAGAATTAAAGATTCTCTCTCTCTCTCTCTCTCTCTCTCTCTCTCTCTCTCTCTCTCTCCACATGTACCACCAACCCTGGCTGAGGTGAGCATGCTTACCATGTAATGTGTCTGACTCCATTTATTTCTATATTTCTCTTCTATCTCTCATGTTCTCTATAACTTTACTATAATCTTTACTTATTATCGCTGTACAATTGCGCCTACCAGACCCATAATGATGTGCTAGGGGCTCGCTTCTCCTGGCAGGTGTTGTCTCTGAACTGCTGCTTTTCATTTCTTTGGGCTATATACCTATGAGTGGAATTGCTGGGTCCTATGGAAACAGCTGCAAAAATCTAATTGGACCTTGGAATGTATGAAGTATGAATATAGGAGAATTGAAAGTCATCAAAAAAGAAATAGAATGCAGAAAGATTGATGTCCCAGGCATTAGTGAGCTGAAATGAATTGGTATTGGCTATTTTGAATCAGAAAAGCATATGGAAAAAAAAAAAGAGAAAGAAAAGCATATGGTTTACTATGCCGGGAATGATGCAATTAAGAGGAATGGTGTTGCCTTCATCTTCAAAAAGGACATTTCAATATCTATCTTTAAGTGCAATGCTATCTGTGATAGAATTATATCTATCCGCCTTCAAGGAAATCCAATGTATACAACTATTGTTCAAATTTGTGCACCAATCAAAACT